ACCGAGTGCCCCCACCCCTTAGATATTTAACTGTATAAAGAACTGTCAGGCCAGCGCAGCTCTCAGACAGCCAGGAGTCAGCGTCAGGAGCGTAGCAAGTTTTTTTCTTTCTTTTATGGGGTCAGCGGGTGGCGTCGGGCATCGTGATTGACGTTTGATCTACTTCGGGGGTGTTCTGTGTCTCCAGTCTAAGCATTGATAGTGTGATCTCTGTAACTTACAGTTGTGATGAGATAGCGATAACTTCAACCTCAGTTGGATACCACAGTCAGTGACTCAATAGATAAGACATCTTGTAGATCTTGTGAAGTTTATTCCATAAACTTAGAGAATCTTACAACAATGAACATTCCATAGGTCAAAAGAACATACTGTTTCTGCTCCATGCCATGAAGCTTGCTGCAATGCATTCCTGGGAAAGGGGGAGGGCTATCTATACAACATTAACTAAACCAAAGGAAAGGAAGGAGCAGAGACAAAATATAGAAAACATTTAAAGGCATATGACAGTCATGTGAAACATGACAGTGGGACATTTTTTTGTTTGTTTTTAATAAAGGACTTGTCAAAGACTGTCTTCTGTCATTTTTTTATACTACACTTTTTTTGTGAATAAATAGCGGTACCATGTACCCATACTCATTCACATGGGATGGGCTGGGGATCTGGAGGCCCAGATTCTGATAATTCCCTGCTTGCAGAACCCCACAACCCCACAACCACCAGCCACAGTTGTGGTGAAGAGGCCCTTGCCTCCACAAGCCCCAAAGCACCCCCACATTTTGAGGGCATGTGGCCTGGTATGGTTCAGGAGGGGGGAGGATGAGCAAGCTGGGCTGCAAGCTCAGATAAGGGTCTGGTATGGAAATTTGGAGGGGACCCACATGCCATTTTTTTTTTAATTTTGGTGTGGGGGATCCCTTCAAAATCCATTCCAGACCCAAAGGGCTTGGTATGGATGGGAGGGACCCCCAGCCATTTTTTTGTTATTATTTTCATTGTTGGCAATTATTTTTACATTTAGCTGTCAGCGGGGAACCCTGCTGATAGCTGACACATTATGGAATGTTTTCACTACTAAAATACTGCATGCCTTAATAATATAACTCATGCGGTATTTTAGTAGCTGCACGGTATCTTACTGCATACTCTGATGCAATAAGATGCTGCTTAGTGCAATGTCCCGGTTCAAAGTTCGCATTCGAACTTTCATTAGGTTTAAATGTTCGACCTGAACAAGGGGGTGTTCGGCCCATCACTAATCAATTATAATAAATTGAATTATGAGTGTTGCTCATTTTCTTGATTAGTATATAGCTTTTGTTATGGGATTTTATAAATAGATTGCTCTAATTTAAAAATGAACAATTGGGTACCTGCACTGTAAAAGTGACCCTGTTTCTACCTAAAGGAATATTTTTAAAAATGTGCTTGAAGAACTACACTAAAGCTGGCCGTAGGTTAATCGAAACTTGTCGGTTTAGCAGGAACCAATCGAGTTTCAATCCATGTGTGGCTGTCCTTGTTCGACAGAAGTCAATTGTTACATTGAGCTCTGTCAAATAGGAATGTTGGGTTGAGGGACTTGCGAGTGACTCTGAACTGATTCCTAGGGACTGTGTGCTTTGGGATGTAAGTGCCAGAAGTAGCTGTAGACTGAGATGGCTCTCATAGAGCCTCAGAATACCGGCCGTTTCCCTGTCCTCAGATGAGTCCTGGAGTGGGAGCCTAGAGAAGAGTCTCCTCTTGTTACTGTGCAGCCTTTTAGAGTTTCCTATGACCTAACCCCTCTCCTGTTTAAAGTTCTGCAGGTGATACAATTCAAAACGACATCCTCTAGATCAGTGATTCTCAACCTGTGGGTCGCAGGACCCTTTTGGGGGTCGAACGACCCTTTCACAGGGGTCCCCTAAGACCATCAGAAAACACATATTTCCGATGTGTAAAGAGCAGCTACTGTGTAGAAAGCAGCTGCTGTGTTGAAAGCAGCTACTCTGTTAAAAGCAGCTACTGTGTTGAAAGCAGCAGTATTGGAGGTAAAACGACACTTCATGAATTATAATTACTGGGTAAATAATTTTATGGTTGGGGGTCACCACACACACATGAGGAACTGTATTAAAGGGTCGCGGCATTAGGAAGGTTGAGAACCACTGCTCTGGATGTCAAAGAGCCAGAGAGTATAGACTGGTGGTGGGCAGCCTCTATACTACTAGGGAAGAACCAGCTGTTATCAATGGCCCCTTTGGCATAACTCCCAACTGTCCCCGATTTCGAGGGATTGTCCCTTATTTGGAACATAGTCCCTCTGTCCCTCTTTCCTCCTCATTTGTCCCTCATTTTGGTCTCATCTGTATAGCTGTATATAAAATGCAATATTTATCTATCAAAAATTATATTACATAGCTAAACCTTTAATCCAATTTATAAATTGCTGCATTTGTAATTTCAAAAGCCAATATAAAATATTAGTGATAAAAAAAGCACTTATTGGTTTACCCAATTATTTTTTTTATAATTATCCTTTAAGGGGGTGTGGCAAGGGCTGTTTCCTATGCCTACATCTGTTTCCTAATAGGTGTTCCTCGTTCCCAGCTTAGAAAGTTGGGAGGTATGCTTTTGGAGGTAGCGCTACACTTACTTGAAAAATCTCCTTTCATGTTGTGAGTGCTGCCTGTTTACTGGCCATCTCTTTTCACAACTTCAGCTTCTCTACTGTTCATTCCTTTGGTTCACTTTCAGTTTCTAAGGAATACATATTCCATTGTACCTTGCTGCCTGCAAGCAGTGATTCCTGTACTGACTCCTCCTCCTTAGGCACCTTCTCTCAGCACCTCTGTAGTTCAGATGGCGTGTGAAATGAATGACACAGCAGTGCCTACAGACGGGGCATAATGAGTACATGTCACAGAATTCAAGGAAGGAAATGTGTGGGGATCTTCACAAAGTAAGTTTTCAAACTTCAAGGCAATTTTTGTGTTTCCTAGGGCAGCAGGAAACCTAAATACACCACTGCCCCCGCCCCTTCATAGACTTCAATGAGATTGATTGGTAGAATATAACTCCACTTTCTTTGAGAGGAAAAAAAAAAATCATTCCCCTCTGTGTGATCAATGTACATTTTATGGCTTTTAACAAACGTTGCAGATTCCTACCTTTTTTTCTGCTCTGAAGAAATAGCTGTTTGTCTCACCATATTCTTTATAGACTGATTCTGAATTTGGGGGGTCAGGGGTCTTGTTCATTATCCACCTGCCCTCTGGAAGATTTACCCCCCTTCACAACCAGGCCATTTTTTTGCTATAAGGCTCTGTGCTATTTTACCTGACAATTGCGCAGTCATGCAACATTGTACACAAATTAAATGTATATAATTTTTTCAAACAAATAGAGCTTTATTTTGGTGATGTTTGGTCATCGCTGGGTTTTTATTTTTTTTACGATATAAATGAAAAAATACTGAAAATTTTAAAAAACACATTTTTAACTTTTTGCCATAAAACATATCCAATAAAAAAATTTAAATAATAAAACGCCTTCATAAATTTAGGCCAAAATGTATTCTGCTATATGTTTTTGGTAAAAAATAAGTCATTTTTTTTTGTACTAGGAATAGCGGCGATCAGCGACTTATAGCGGGATTGCGATAGTATGGCAAGCATTCTGACACTAACTGACACTGGGTGGGAATTAACTAACTGCCATTGACATCTCTGATGGCACTAATACAGTAATCAATACTAATAAAAAGCACTGACACTGTACTAATGACACTGGGTAGGAAAGGGTTAACATCTGGGGCGATCAAAGGGTTAGCTGTGTGTTAGGGAATGATTAAACTGTGTACTGTGTGGTGTTTGCAGAAAGATAAAAACCAGCACATCCTTACTGACAAGACAGAGATCTGTGTTGTTTACACTCACAGATCTCACTCCTGTCAGCTGCTCCACCATTGAATTGTTGGCTAGGACCCAATGATTGACACCTACAGGAGCCAATAACAGTGCAGGTAGGATGGTGCACTCCCAACCTGGAAATGCGAAATCATGCGTATATATATATATATGTGTGTGTAATTTTGCACAAATTGGGCCGCCCTGTAGCAGTAAAACTGCTACAGAGTGGTCGGCAAGTGGTTATAATCACCTGGTGCACTCTCAGCGGTCGTATGGGAAAAGCTGCAATGTCTGCCTCTATTTAGAAATATTTAACCCTTTGGGAGTATCTCGCTAAAACTGAAATTCCTATTGCAGGGAGTCACTAAAATTTGACTAGTTGACTTCAGGGAAAATTCATGAGCCAATCACACTTGGGGTGTCCTGTACTCCAGCTTCAGTTTGCCATGTTTGATTGAATTTTATAGAAAATTACAGTGGCTGCAGACTGGAATGTAAAGGTATTTATCTATTTATTTCAGGTACTTATATAGCGCTGTCAATTTATGCAGCACTTTACATACATATTGTACATTCACATCAGTCCCTAACCCTCCAGGAGCTTAGTACCCGGAGGGAGCGGAGGTGGAGTGGATAAGGTGCGGCTTATAGAGGAGGAATTGTTTTATTATATCCCATGGTCCCTGTGATGAGAAGTGGAATTCAGGGGACCTGACACTGTCAATTATAGCCTTTTGGCCCTGTGTGGGTCAGGGTGTTGAGGTGAGCAGGCATTGCTGCCATTAGAGGATTGGTGTTTGTTTTTCCACTAGAGTGAAGATCACGTGGGCACCATCACGTTTTGCATGGACTTCATATTTTGATATTTCACCAATGAATTTTGTTTTATTTTTTTATGGATTATAATTAATATTATTGAGTATAATCACCATCACTTTTGGAGTGTTCATTTTATTTAGAGATTGGTTCACTGTACATTATTATTTATTCATTCAATATATATTGATATAGTGCTTCACTATTTACTAAAATGTAGGTACTTATATAGCGCTGACCCTGTATTCACTATATCTGATCTCCCCAGACTCTGCATTCACTATATCCGCTCTCCCCGGACCCTGCATCCACTATATCTGGTCTCCCCGGACCCTGCATTCACTATATCCGATCTCCCCGGACCCTGCATTCACTATATCTGGTCTCCCCGGACCCTGCATTCACTATATCTGGTCTCCCCGGACCCTGCATTCACTATATCTGGTCTCCCCGGACCCTGCATTCACTATATCTGGTCTCCCAGGACCCTGCATTCACTATATATGGTCTCCCTGGACCCTGCATGCACTATATCTGATCTCCCTAGACTCTGCATTCACTATATTTGATCTCCCTGGACCCTGCATTCACTATATCTGGTCTCCCCGGACCCTGCATTCACTATATCTGGTCTCCCTGGACCCTGCATTCACTATATTTGATCTCCCTGGACCCTGCATTCACTATATCTGGTCTCCCCGGACCCTGCATTCACTATATATGGTGTCCCCGGACCCTGCATTCACTATATCTGGTCTCCTCGGATCCTGCATTCACTATATCTGGTCTCCCAGGACCCTGTATTCACTATATCTGGTCTCCCCGGACCCTGCATTCACTATATCTGATCTTCCCGGAACCTGCATTCACTATATCTGATCTCCCCGAACCCTGTATTCACTATATCTGGTCCCCCCGGATCCTGAATTCACTATATTTGATCTCCCAGTGTACACACAACATGGAAAAGCAATTATTTTAGTAAATGTAAACTGCTAAATACCTTTTATCATCAGCAGTTACAGCAGCCTTGTGACTTCTATCAGTGCCCAGCAGAGCACATGTGAAAGCTTGTAGGAGGAGTTTTAATTTTGCTCTAGGAGGATGCAGAACCCCTGACATCTGCCTGGCCAGTGCTGATCACATGCACTCTACCAGGAAAAAAAAAAATCTCTAACCATACACACCAAACTGAGCATGTGCAGAGTGACTCCACACGATATGTCTTATCAGGAGATAAGAGGGGGACACTGGAAAAAGGGGAGGATCAAATAAGTCAGGATCAAACAGTGTTTTTACACAATGCAGAGGATTAACCCCTTAGGTTCCACAGTGAGTATAACAAGCATGCTTTACTGCATATACAGACTGAATTTACTGTTGTGGGTTTAGTAAAACTTTGAAACAATATAATACAATATGGTCTGTATGGATTGTATGTGCAATATTATTATATATTATATTCTTTCTATTTGATTTATTTTTTCTCTAAAAGGGGGTTATCCTTTAGGTTCAGGCTTCGGGTATTTCACACAGGATTCTATAAACCTCCCGCGAATTGAACCCAGGCAGATTCACCCAGCTCTAATGCTTGTGTTCATCTAAATGGAGAGAAGAGAAGGAGGGAAGTCTTGGCAGACAGCGACATGAGATTATCACTCAGTCTGGTTGGAAACAAGCAGATGTCATATCTGTGGTTGGCTTTGGAGGGGATCAAATATGATGTGCTAGAATGAAACGTAGTCTTGTTATATAACCTTTTCTTTACACCTACATGATATCTGCCAATTTTAGAAGTGTTTTTTCTTTTCTGACGTTATATCCTGTATTTATGTTAAACATTCTATTTTCTTCTTTTAACTTTTATATTAACATAAAGTTCATAGGAATATAATGAAGTGCTAGAAACAAAAGTCCAAAGTGAAAAAGAATGGAATATCCATATAGCAAGGAAACTACCCAAGTGACCTCATAGATAAGCAGACTTCACCACTTGAACACCAACGTGCATTAGCTGCTTACCAGCCTCCAGACCCCAAAGTAAAGGAGGTCTGACCATTTTTTAGAAAAAAAAATTCCAAAATGGATGGATGGATGATCATTTCCTAACACATCAGGTACTCACTGAGGGGATGAATGGATGGATAACACCTCTCCAGCTCAATGGATGGATGGATGGTGAATGTGTTCTCACTCTCTCCACCAGTACACACCGCTTACACTGCCACCAACACAGATCCACCATAGATCAAGCCAAACATTGCATGCCAGAAGATCTCTCATGGTGTAGTATTACAATATATATATATTTTTTAATAATTACAATATTATTTAATAAAAATATGATAACACAGCATAGCAATTGATGCCCCGGCAGGCGTGATGATGTCACCGCTGTAGCTTCTCCTGACATGTTTCACCCTATGGAACATCATCTCTTGGTCAACTGAGTATATGAGATGACGTTCCATTGGAGGAATGTGTCAGGTGGAGCTACAGCAGTGGCATCAATCCAGGTTTTTATGATATGCTGCATTATCATCATTTTAATGTAAGTAGATACCAAATTTGAATGAATAATTTTAATGAATTTGATTAATTTCTAGTATATTTATGTACTCATTTATTTATTCATTCGTATTTATTTGTGGTTAAGCACATGCACTTTAATTTGTTTATGGCAGCGCAACACGGTTGTTTCATCAAGTATTGCATATATGTTATATGTGGAGGGCTACTGATGCTGCTGCCATTTCATTTGATACACTTATACGGTTGCAGTTTTGGTGACACTTTAGTGCAAAATTCTTGGTTTCAATTGTGCGGTCATGCAACACTGTACCCAAATGAATTTTTTTTTTCACACAAATAGAGCTTTCTTTTGGCGGTAATTGATCACCACTGGGTTTTTTGAAAAATACTAAAAATTATGGGGGAAAATATAGTCTACTTTTTGCTATAAAACATATCCAATAAAAAAATAGAAAAATCTAATTTCTTCATATATTTAGGCCAAAATGTATTCTGCTGCATGTCTTTGATGAATAAAAATCCCAATAAGGGTATATAAATTGCATGAAAGTTATAGCACCTACAAATTATGGTATATATATATATATACTGAAACTTACGTAGCTATGATGTTATACTGGTAATGGTGGTGATCAGTGACTTATAATGGGAATGTGATAGTGTGGTGAGCAATCTGGCACCAGCTGACACTGGCTGGAAAGTACACTAATTGACACAAGTGATAGTAACACTAATACAGTGATCAGTGCTGATACTGTACACTGTCTATTCTCCCTGCAAAAGCAAAGCAGGGAGAATAGACAGCCATTCATTTAAGTAAAAGCAGCACACATTACACACATTAAACATTGTTAGCAGGGGCGGACTGACCATTTGGAAACTCAGGCACTGCCCGAGGGCCCGGGGTCAGTAGGGGGCCCCATGAGATGCCCCTGGTATCTTTTTCATAGGCTTTTTTTGAGTTTGGGCAAGGACACAGGGCCCCCATGATCTCCTTTTGCCCAGGGGCCCCATGAGTTTTCAGTCCGCCCCTGATTGTTAGTCACACAGGTAATCCTTTGATTGCCCCTAGATGTTAACTCCTTCCCAGCCAGTGTCAATAGCACAGTGACAGTGTACAGTATTAGCACTGATCATTGCAAAGCAGGGAGAATAAACAGGCAGATCTCTGTTCTATGTACACAGAATTCTGTGTTTTGTAAACACAGAACTCTGTGTGTGATTGGACACAGCTGATCAGTTGACTTCAGCTAAAATCATTGGCTAAAATAAGCTGACAAACTCGTGCTGTGTCCAATCAAGGGATGGGTTGGCATGGGTTGGCAGGGGGGCACGCCCATACATGCCCCAAACCTAGAAGACAGGTCGCAATGTACCAGTACACTGTCCAGCCTGGAGCTGCCCGCAGTACAACTACTGTGGCGGGCAACAAGCTGTTAAACTTACAGGTTTATGACTGTTGCTCCATTCAGAAAAAGATTTTAGATATGAACAACAGGCCAGTCCAGTCCTTTAAACCAACACTTTATCAATAAAGTCTTCTCTATCTTGTCTTGCATCCATATGGCAGCAATAAAATATCACTCCCAGTTAACAGACACGATTCCTTAAAGTGATACTAAACTCTCATTTATTAAGTGTAGAATATGAAAGCAATAAAAGTGAGCGCTCTTATGGGTAAGCAGCTAGACACTCAAGGAAACCAAATAAAGCCTTGCGGAAAATGTACAAAAAAACGTGCAGCGCTAATGAGTAAATTAAGGTGCAAAAATTATTCCAAATGACTAAAAAGACAATGAAGCAGTCATAAAATGATTCTAAAATAATGTAAACAAATGTTCCGTTTTGCAACCAAAAACTAATTGATAGTCTTTATGTAGTGTTCCCCTTTAAATCCGCAGTAATGTTCCAAGCGATGTAGAGAGATTGTGCACTCACCAGATGCACAATGTAAATGTGCATTAAGAAAAATCCACAGAAGCCTCCTTTAAGGGTCTGGTCTGGGATGGGGGAAGGTATCCTCCCTCTAGGTGGTTTGGTCTGGTCGGGAACACATGGAGATCCTCCATCTGGGTGGGTGGTAGTAACAGGAGCACATTGTGCATCTGGTGAGTGCACAATTTCTCTACATTGCTTGGAACATTACTGCGGATTTAAAGGGGAACACTACATAAAGACTATCAATTAGTTTTTGGTTGCAATACGGAACATTTGTTTACATTATTTTAGAATCATTTTATGACTGTTTCATTGTCTTTTTAGTCATTTGGAATAATTTTTGCACCTTAATTTACTCACTAGCACTGTACGATTTTTATACGTTCTCATTTATTAAGGCCTGGTTCACAAAGGTATGATTTCAGATGCAATTTGAGTTGCACAGAATCACATGAGAATGGAAATCACATATGTTTTCAGTGGTGCACATTTACATTAAAGCAGCACAGCACGGTGTGTGATTTTGGAGGAGGGTCTTCTATGGCTTTGGTGCAATTGCAGTGCAATTTTTGCACCATAGAATTTAATAGAAAAGCACCAAAAATGCAACTACATACCATTTGACACATTTTTTATGCATTTTTAATTGAATTTCAGTGCTTTTTTTTCCCCTGTGACAGCAGATATGCTTATCATTGGTCAAAACTAAAAACACAGAGGCATGAAAATCACATAAAAAAAGGTATCAAAATTGGATAAAAAACTCACAATGAAATTTGGATCTAATCACAGCCACAGTTGTCCTTTCAGCACCTGACATAATCACAGCTTCTTTAATCATTGTTTAAGTTTTAAGGTGGGAATACACGATTAGAAAATCGACCGATCGGTCATCCGACGACTGAGAGGCATTTTATTCGTTGGTCGAAATTGTGGCCCACATTAACCAATCTAAAAAAAATTGTTCGTCGGGCAATACATAGTGTCGACATCTTCCGTACAAGTGGAAGTGATGCGGTGTGCGTGTGACCTTGTAGCCACGCCCTTCCAGCCAGAACAAACGATATACACAACAATAACCAGCAATGAGTATAATATCGTTTATTACATGACCTATATACATAAATAGTGATACATAAAATATAATCTGCAGAATTCTGGTTTCATCATCTCATTAGGCCAATCTACTTTTAACATTTGGATTTGTCGTTTGTGTTTACAAAGATTCCTTGGACATAAACATCCGGGTCATCTTCTGTTTCCGCTCATGCGTGATAGCGCTTGATAGATTTTTTTTCGTACGACCATCATACCACCATAGAAAATTGGTCGTTCATATGCAAAAAAAAATTTTCACTGTTGTTCAACCAGATTTTTTTCATTCACAATATCGTTATCGGTTTTTAAAACAGACTGCTCATCAACGAAGAGAAAATTGTTCGATCAGTGGCTCCGTGAAAAATTTTTCGGACGATTTTCTTATCGTGTGTACGGGGCATTGGTTTGAGCTGCAGAAAACAAAACATTCTACTCACAGAGGTGGATTGATGCTGCATCTGTCCCCCTCTGGCTCTGCAGTGAGAACTGAATGATCAAACACCGCTGATTGCTCAGTTCTTCCCTCCACTTTGAGCAGAAAGCCAGGACTGTCAATCTCCAGCTCTCTACTCTCCTCCTCAAGGGCACACTGGAGTGCTGGACTGTGGAGGAGGGGGCGGAAGCACTGTCTCACTCTCCCAACAGATCACTGAAAGGCTGAGCCAGGTGCTG